GCCCGGCCGCAGAACGTCCCTTTCCCGTGCCAGGGGACCCCAAGGTGCCGGTGCTGTACGAAGTGGAGCGGACCCGCACAGGGAAGAGTTTCTCCGTTCGCTCTGTAAAGGCCATCCAGCATGGAAAGCCCATCTTCACCTGCCAGGCCTCCTTCCAGCTCTCGCAGGGGAGCCCAGTGCAGCACCAGTTCACCATGCCGACCGTGCCACCCCCCGAGGAGCTGCTGACACAGGAGGAGCTCATCCAGAAGTTTCTGCAGTGAGTGGGGTGGAAGGGACACACCAGGGATGCCCCTGGTGCCTGGGGCATAGGGAAGTGTGGGAGAGTATTGTCTGAGGAGTTCTCAAATGTGCCTGGGAGGGGAACAGAGGAGCAGGACACAACAGGAGCTGTGCCCCTCTTGTCTTTCTGTGTGCCCCTGGATCCCTGGGCTGGAGCTGCTGCCAGTAGGATGTGTTCCAACCTGCCTGTCTGGTGTTAACCTTGCTTCTCTGTGCTGGGCTGCAGGAATCCTAATGTGGCTGAGGGCTACAGGAAGCGTCTCACCAAGATCCAAGCTCAAGATGTGCCAATTGACATTAAACCCGTGAACCCACCAGATATATTCAGCTCAGAGCCACAGGAGCCAAAGCAGCTCTTCTGGGTGCGAGCACGAGGCTACATAGGTGGGTCCTGCTGGGTCCAGGTGCCTCCCAAGCCAAGGGGGAGCACTGTTTCAACAGAGTGGTCTGAGAAGGCTGTGATTAGGGGGCTGCCTGTGCCCCAGCCTGGGCACTTCAAGGCTGTAATACAGGTGTGGGTGCAGAGGTGATGCTGGGGCATGGCATGGCAAAGGGAATAAGTCTGGAAGAATCCCAGCTGTGCTTGGCAGCTGGCTCCAGGGGAGTGGAGCACCCCAGGCAGGTCCCAGGGGCCCCCACGGGATGGGCAGTGCTGGTTGCTCTGCAGGAGAGACTGACATGAAGGTGCACTGCTGCGTGGCTGCCTACATCTCTGACTATGCCTTCCTGGGCACGGCCCTGCTCCCGCACCGGCAGTACCGTGTCAAGTTCATGGTGTCCCTCGACCATTCCATGTGGTTCCATGCACCCTTCCGAGCTGACCACTGGATGCTGTACGAGTGTGAGAGCCCCTGGGCTGGTAAGTCCTTAGTGTGTCTTTGGGAGACCTTGATGGGCAAGGCCAGCCCTGCCTGTCCTGGGGCAGTGGGCTGCAGTCTGACAGTCTCTCTCTGCAGGTGGGTGCCGGGGCTTGGTGCAGGGACGGCTGTGGCGCAGGGATGGGGTCCTGGCTGTCACCTGCGCACAGGAAGGTGTCATCAGGGTGGAACAGACACCAACCCAGAGCAAGCTCTAGCTGAGGACACCCTACAGACTGGGGCTGAAGCATGCCCAGGGAGGGACCCTGAGATGAAGGCAGGACCTGGACAGGAACAGGAAGGAGACCAGGTGGGACCAAGCACTGCAGGAAGTCCTGGTGCCCGAGGTGTCTGCGACAGACTGTGACCAACAGAGCATCGTTGCAACCAACTGCTAGCTGCACAGCATGTAAGCACATGCTGCCGTCAGCTATCTTTCACCCACCTTAAAATAAAGCCGTTGGGTGAAGAGCTGGACTCTGTCCCTGGAGTTTGTCCCCTTGGACCCTTGACTGGGCTTGCACAAGGGCGGGCAGTGCCAGGAGCACAGTGGATCAGCTCTGCCCCCATGCCAGGCGGGGTCACAGGAGAGGAAGGTGCCACTTTGGCTCACGTTGTTTCCTCTTCTCACTTCTGCACTGCTTTGGCTCCTCAGTAGCTGCTTCTGCTTGTCCTTGGGCTCCTCCCTAGGACTGGGCTTGGGCTTGGGCCCAGCTGGAAGAAGGGGATGAGGCAGCTCCCACCTCTATGTGGAGGCTTGAGGCCTCCCACTGATGATGCCCTGGGGTAGTAAGGCTAAAGAGACACAGCAGGCGCCTTGCTCTTCTTCCTGCCAAGACTTTATTTAATAAAGTCCTTTCTATTGTGTAAGTTTTACGGGAAGTTCCCGGCAAGAGCCCTGGACCCTGCCAGAAGCTTTCCCGTTCCCTTGCAAGGTGCCAGTATGTCCCAGCTAAAGTCTCAGCCACTCCAGGATCCCCTGCAGAGGAGGAGCAGCTTTGGGCAGCACCAGTGTGGGTGGTGGACCCCCATGAGTCCCCAGCCCTGCAAAACAGACTAACCACAGAGAAAGTGCATTCAGGAGGCAGCTCCAGGCATGGACTGTGCTGCCTGTGGGACTGCAGTGCTGCTTCCCTGTCCCATTGCCACCCATGGCATTTCCCTCCCTGTTCCCAGCTGCCACAGGCGTGTGAGCTTCCCCTCCCACCCATGTGAGCACAGGTGGCTCATTCCAGAGGTTCCTTGATCAGGCATTCCTTCAGGGAAGGCTGCTGCTGCAGGGCCAGCCCCGCTTCCCGCAGGTCCTGCAGCCGGGCCTCCGAGCGCCGCTTGTCCTTGCCCACCTTCCAGGCCAGGTGGACGTGGGCCTGNCATGCACATCGTCATCAACGGCGAGGACATGGGCCCGAGCGCCCGCGGCCTGCCCGCCTCCCGCCCGCTCTACGCCGTCATCGACGTCTTTGCCTCCACCAAGAGCGTCCGGGTGATCCCGGTGGATTATGGCTGTAGGTACCTGTGCCCCTTTCTGTGGCATGTGCTGCATGGGCCAGGAGCGGGGGAGCTCTGGTGGGGTCATGCCGTAGTCATCAACAGAGGGAAGGTTGGCGTGTGCCACTGGGCAGAGGGACACAGGGGGTAAGAAGGCACAGGAAAGCCTCTGGTCCTTGTGGAGCACAGGTGAGATCCACAGTACCACTGCTGGGCAGTGTCTGATGAAAGCTCTACTGTGGGCGCTGTGCTGGGGCTAAGGGAGAGACCCCCCTGGCCACCCTTCCCGAGCAGAGTGATAGGGTTGGTTGTTTGGGGCTGTCCCACAGATGTGAGGCCTTGCTGTGCCCAGCCTTGCCTACAGCACGTGGCAGCCAGAGCCAGCTAAGATCCTGCCCTGGCATCAAAACATCCACCTACACCCACCAGGGCTCAGCACAGGGCGCCCACGCTCCTGCTGCGTGCCCCAGACATGATGTTCCCTGGGCAGGCACCCTGTGATGCCATCGGAGCCTGGGCATTAGTCCGTGTCCCTTGGCTTGCTGGGAGGGACCACGCTAATAAGTGCTAATTAGCACCACGCTGGAAAAATGAGGAGATGGATCAGGTGAGACAGAGCCAGAAGAAGAGCTAGAGCCAGAGTACTGCCTGCCCCCAGCACTGGGAGCCACTGCTTCACATGCTGGTGTCACAAGCAGCTGCTTCTGTCCCAAGGCTGGAACCTGGTATTCTCCCTGGTGTAACAGCTGAGGAGAGTAGTGGCTGCAGCAGACAGTACCCATGCTGCTGAGCCACCCATGGCTCTGGGAAGTCGTATCACAGGAGCAGGAACCAGGCAGATTCTGTGCAGGTGCCCAAGGGGACGGTTCTCATGGTAGTCTGCCCCAAAGGAATGGTGGGCACTGTCTCTGCAGGCAGTGCAGCCCCAGCCTGCACTCACTCAGCAGCTTGCTGCCGGGGCCAGTGCAGGCAGACCAAGGGAGTGGGATGGAAAAGAAGCACACCATGAGTGTGTGAGACCCTGGGGAGTTGCTTGACAGCCACAAGAGAAAGAAATGCAAACCAGCTACAGTCAAACAACAGCTTGGGCACATAACTGTCTCTCAGCCTTCCTCCTAATAACGGGAAGAGCTTTGCTGCCCGGGGCCCTTGAGCTTCCAGCCCTGCTGGAGCAGCCTGGCACCAGCCCCCGCACAGCCAGTTTGAGCCCAGGGCAGGAGGATGCCACAGAACAAACTCACCCACCACTGCCTTTAACCACAGTGCCTCTGAGAAGCTCTGCCAGCTCCTCCACCCCCCTGTGCTCAGCCTCACTGCTGACTTGCCCAGCTCAGGTACACTCTCTGTTCTCTTGCAGTTCCTTCCCTGCAGACGCTGTGCCGGCTGGTTATCCAGAAACACATTGTGCACCGCCTGGCCATCGATGGCCTGGACTTGCCCCCGCTACTCAAGAGCTCCTGCCAACATGAGTGAGGTATTGAGGGTGCTGCTGGGCTGCCCCCCACATCAACAGCCCCCAGGGGTGGCTGCCTGGCAGGCTCTGTGCCCCTCCCTGCCCACTCACCCCAGCGTGTGCTGCTGAAGGGCTGGCATGAGAGCAGTGCAAAGTGGGGTTGGGATTTTCCCCACACTGATGGTGTGGCATGCCCAGAGCATGGGCAGGAGGATTGATGTGGGTCAGAGACTGCAATAAAGTGCTTCCAGACAAGACTCTGTCAAAGGAGGCTTGGGAGGCTGGGACGCCCCTGTGCTTTTCCCCTTGTGGGAGCAGTTCCTCCACCAGTGAGGAAGGGAGCACAGGCCACAGCCCTGTGGGATTCAGGACATGTCCCTGGAATTATACTGGGACTGTCAGGGTGGATCAGAGCAGGTGGAGTGTGGGAGGGCACAGCACAGCGCTCACGTGGAGGTAAATTACAGCTGGACACTTATCCTGGGCAGTTTCACTCTTGGGAAAGATGTTTACCCAGAGAATGATGAGTTATTTCCTGTGTGTTCAGCTTGGAGGGGGACGAGTCAGATGCTGGAGCACCCAGATAGCAGTGCTGGCAGCAGCCCTTGCTTGGGCACGTGTGTGTGGCCACAGAGCCAGTCACAGTGACCTGGTGTGGGGCACAGCCATCCTGACTTGGAGCTCCATGCCCTCAGCTCTGTGCCCTCAGCCAGACCCTTCAGCCCCTGGCAGGTGAGGATGGCATCCTGCAGTGACTGTGGCAGACTGGAGGGGAGAGGTCTCCTAAAATCAGAAGGGTTCCAGAAAGATAGCAAAGGGCCTGGCAAAGCCTCCCAGGCCTCTTCTACAGCACAACCAAAGGGGAAACAAGCAGCTCTAAGCTGACAAAAAGGTGTTTTAAAGAAACACGATGCTATATTTAGTCAGAGACTCGATAGTATCAGATCATGTTACAAAACTCGTGCTCAGAGGAAATCCCCAGCCCTCAACCACAGCCAAGTCCATCAACACCAAAGTGTTAATGAAGAAATTGCTAAATTCGATGTGAAAACATGGACAGTGACCAAACCACAGCAATGGAGCGAGGTCTGTGACATTCCCTGCTATGTCCCAACAACAGGCTGGGAGCTGCTGGGGCTGGATGGGGCTGAGGAACTCACCCACTCCAGATCAGTTCCCACAGAGGAGGGAGTTTGCACACAGGCTGTTTTCCCTCCCCCACCCTTGCTCGAAGCCTTTGCTCCCCACCTCCCTGCAGTGTTATCTGCCCGGCAGTGACCCCTGCACACGAGGGCGGGTTCCTGTTTCTTGAGGAATTGAGAGCAGCTGCTGCAGCCAGACAAACAACACCCCTGCTCTGCAATGGGCTGCAGCACAGTGGGGTTGCAGGGATTCAGGAGCTGCCACCTTCTGCCACCTGAGGCACCACAGGACGGCTGAGGAGCACTGCCCAAAGCCCTGCTGATTCCCCATGCTCTGTTCCCTGGGCAGGGAGGGGTGGCTGCAGCTGGCACAGGGACAGGCTCAGCTCCCAAACAACACCAGGGTGATTTATTGGCTCAGTTGCACAACACCTCACAGCTGGATGCTGCAACAACCTGTGGGTGCTGGCCCTGGATGAAATAGTTTTGTCACGTGTTATTGTACCTAGATCCCTACAAATCTATGGGCCCTTATGGGATTAATTTGAGAAACCACAAAGAACTGGCTGATGTCATCACAAAGGCTCTCGATGATTTTGGAGTGGTTTTGGGAATCTGGAGAGGTTCCCACATGACTGGAAGCTGAGAACGATGTCCCAGTTTCACAGGGCAGCAAGGAAAACCCTGGAAACTACAGGCCTGTCAGTGTCACTTCAGTGCCCAGTAAAATCATGGAAAAGATCATTCTAGCAGGTACTGAAAAACACCTGTAGGAGAACACTGGTCACAGCCAGCATGGCTTCATGAGGGCAAAGTCCTGCTTGTTGGACATGATTTCCTTCTACAACAGGGTAACCCACCTAACTGACCAAGGAAAGCCAGTAGCTGTAATGCTTTTGGGCTTCAGCAAAGCTTTTGACACTGTCTGTCCCAGTATTCTTTTGGACAAAGTGTCCAGCTTGCAGCTGAATAATCCTGTTGCACAATGGGTGAGCAGCTGGCTCACAGGTTGGGCACAAACAAAGACTTAGAGGGAATGGGGTGACATCAGGCTGGTGTCCAGCCACTAGAGGGGTTCCATAGGGCTTCACCCTTGGCCCAATTCTCTTCAACATCTTCATTAACGCCTTGGACTCAGGACTTGAAGGAATATGAAGTAATATATTAATGTTTAGTGCTAAGAACACTAAACTAGGAGGAGCTGTCAACTCCATTGAGGGCAGAGAGGCCCTGCTGAGAGACCTCAACAAATTGGAGAGATGGGTCATCACCAAAAGTATGAAGTTTAACAAGAGCAAGTGACCCAGTGCACCTTGTACAGGGCAGTCCTGGTGGTATATACAGACAGGGGATACCAGCACTGTGGAAAGGGACCTGGGGGTCCTGGTTGATGGCAAGTTGAATATGATCAGCAGTGCCCTGGCAGCCAGGTATCAGACACAGCATGTCCTGCGTATCAGACACAGCATTGGCAGCAAGGGAGGGGATTGTCCTGCCCTGCTCTGCACTAGTGCAGCCTCACCTCAAATCCTGGGGGCAGTTTTGGCACTGCAATATAAAAAAGACATTAAACTATTAGAGACCATTACTCAAAAGATGCCACAAGGATGGTGATGGGACTGGAGGCGAAGCTTTTGAGAAACAGTTGAGGTAACTTGGTCTGTTCAGCCTGGAGAAGAGGAAACTGAGGGAAGACCTCATTGTGGTCTTCAGCATCCTCGTGAGAGGAAGCAGAGGGGCAGGCACTGATCTCTTCACTGTCATGACCAGTGACAGAACATGAGGAAATGGTATAAAGCTGAGGCAGGAGATCAGAAAAAGGTTTTTCACCTAAGGGGTGGCTGAGCACTGGAACAGGCTCCCACGAGCAGTGGTCACGGCATCAAGCCTGTCTGAGTTGAGGAAGTGTCTGGACAACGCTCTCAGGCACATGGTGGGATTTTTGTGGTGTCCTGCACAGGACTGGGAGTTGGACACAATCCCAATGGGTCCCTTCCAACTCAGCAGATTCTAGGATAGCAGCACCTCCCACATTGCACCACCCAGAGCTGGCTCCTGGCCACAGCTGTTAGCCAGGTCAGTGACTGTGACCCTTCCTGCAGGATCAGGAGCTCCCAGTCCAGTTCCTCTGCTGCCCCGTGCAAGAAGTCTCGCTCACTCAGCAGATCAAGGACCAAACTGCCCCTTCCACGTGGAGGAAATGACAGGCTGAGGGAATGAAGGTGCAAGACAGGACCCAGTGGAAGCACCCAGCTCACCTCCCACTCTGCTGGAGCTTCACCTCAGTGGAGCTGATCCAGCTGTCAGCAGCTCCCACAGAGTCCTGTGCTCCAAGTTCTTATTGCTGTGGCTGATCTCTGCTGGGAGGAAGGATAACCATGAGGGATTTATCCAAAGAGCTCCAGGAGCTCTTTAGGACCTCCAAGAGGCCATCAGCACTGTCTCACCCAGCCTGATGGGCATCACATCTCCTCTCCCATGGTCTACTGAACGTTTCCCTCTGCAAGAGCTTCTTGTTTGAATTCAGTACAGCCAAGATGTGCCAGCAGGGCAGCTGGAAGGCCAGGCTGAAGTGGCAAGTGTGACTACTTGGGCCTTCCTGGAAGATGCCCACAGAGTGGGCATCCTCCTGGATCTGTACACTGAGCCTGTCCTACCTGGTGCAAATCAGCTGCCTGGACTTCCAAACCACTGCCTTAGGCACAGCCTGGCAGCAGCCTCTGTGCAAATGCCACTCAAAGACTGCCTGATGCTGTCTTCAGTCCTTTGGGTAATCTAATCTTCACTG